CTCAACTTGTAAATGTGTCTCCTCGCTAACTTCTGACATACCGTTTATCTTCAGGTAACTGGAGCTGTAATCAATGGCAAGCTGATTTCACTGGTGTTTGTCGCCAGACTATCACACCACCTTCATCGAACCGTATGCAACATATGTGATCATTTCAAAGGCATTACCACAGCGAAGTTTCTGGACTAAACGTTAAACTATCTATTTGCAAATCGTTGTAGCATATGTTATATTGATTGATTATGGGTCTTTGAGAACTATAGGAAATGCACCGAATTCCAAATGAGGTCTAGGTGCTTATTCAGTTATTTTCTCTGATCTCAGCAATTTGCAATGTTTTGATCATTCATTGTCTGTAGGAGGTGTAATCGAGATGCAACAACCAGCATAAAGTTCTGACAATTTATTAACAATGTACATAAATAAATATGTTATTATGCCCAGTGAAAGATCACCAAACCATTTGATGACTTCATTATTACGAATGAAACAAAGTAGCATCATGCTAAAAGTGTATACCAAATATTGGCTACTGGCAGTAATAAAACGGGCGGAGGTACTGTACCCACACGGATACTCATCTCCACAGCACAACATCGAACATTCAAGCAAAGACCCGCATAGAACAACAAGTGGAACGACGGAGTTCTCACTGAGAAACAATTGACGCCTAATTATGTTTATAGCTAGTGATAGTGTATTATGGTCGGCACATTCACTTGTGAACTGACTTATGACAGTGGCAGAATCAATCTAATTGTCAGATTTTTAATTCTGACATTATGGAATCTGCACACTTACATCCTTGCTGGGCAAAACAGACTGATGCGAGTGCTGACGAGATGTTTATCGTTGTTCTATTAGGTGCCGCGTGAGTTACTGGCTGCGAAGAGAATCTCATCGAGCAGGTTAAGACGCGCCGGGCGACGATGGCGTCGATGCTTCAGAATAGACGGAGAAGCTCGTTGGATAGTAGCAGCTGGTTGAAGCCACATGGGAATACGAATACGACTTGATGATGAAGGTGGGAGAAGGAAGCGATGAGAGTGTCGTGGAGACATGAGGTCGAGGCTTCGTTTTACGGTGGCCGTACAACATCGAGTACATTTATCGGCATTCGTGTACATAGCGCATTTGGCACCACACCCGCAGTTGGCAAACGTGAGTA